TCAAATATGCATAAACGAAAGGCCTCTGACCTATTCAGTACTTCAATTCTGGAGCTTTGTAGGCGAAACATTTTGCAATGGTTTCGTCCACTTATCAGGATGTTTCAGCAATTGACAGCAGATTTTTTTCATTTTAAATATTTTTGTATGAAGTTAATTTGCAACTTATGTGTGAATTATTGGTATGATGTATTTTTTTCCCTACTCTGTATGTTATTATAGTGGACACTTTGTATTAGTGAATAGATGCCACATTTTTATTTATTAAACAGTGTATTACGTATATCGGCCTGCATATTTGAGAAATCTTAGCAAAGTAAGTGTTCTTCAACAGAGATTGATCTTGTGTCTCCCTTTGTAGGGGAAGCTTCACCCCTTAGCCCCTAATCTCACAATAAGCAAGGCTTTATTTTTTTTTTCTTTTTAAGGAAAAGCACATCCACTTCACCCAGATTATTTTTCTAAAAAGGTTTCATATCTGAAACATAGACAAAGAAATTTCTAAAGAATTCATGAATTTATATGAACATCTAACAAATAATGTTAATAAATGTTTATTTTTTAATCATTTCACCCCAAGCAAGGCAATAAAGTTACTAAGATGCAAGGGGGGGTCACTAATTGTGAAAGAAAATGAGAAAAAGAAAAAAAAACATTAAGGAGAGAGAACAGTAAAAGAAAAGAAATTAAAAAAAAAAAAACAGATAATGTTTGACAATACATTACAATTTTTGAAGATCAATGTTGACTGGAAGTTAAGAGGTCAGAAGATAGTCCCACAAGCGAGAAGTATGAGAGAAAAAACTGTTAGTATAGAACTAATGGTTACAGCTATCCATTTCAACTGTAAAAAGATGAGACCTAGTTGCCAATCTAGTACTGCACTTAAATTCATTAAGTCTAGGTACCATAGAGGAGAGTACATCAGAACAATTACCATGAAAGTATTTATAGAAAAGCCACAGGGAAGCTGAAAATGAGTGAACAGAGATGCCAGGTCAGGACCAAGGCCATTGCAGATTCTTCTTTTGTATGTTATCAAGAACCTCTGAATATATAGAAGTATAAAATCAGATGTGACAGCAATATATCAGGGATGAGTTTTAACCTAAGATAGGGGCAGGCAAAAATTGCCTTGGTGGACCCCTTAAAAATGAGGGCACTGTGGCAATGTTTTTAGAATTGAAAAAAAAACAAACAAAAAGCTCTAAAATCAAATAGGTTTTATTGACAAATAATATAGATTATGATTAGAATTATTAGCAATGATCCATTGCAGTGGAACGTTTTCAAAAAAAGAAATCAAACCTCACAACATTATTCACTTAGAATATGTTGTGGAAAGCACAAGATTTATGTATTATTGTATAAAAATATAAAGCTTTTTCAGCATAAAATCAAAATAACTATGGAAATAAAAGAAAAAAAAAAATATGTGCAGCAAATGTCAAAATCATCCTTTACTTTCCAACATGAATATTAGTAATTTCTTATAAATAAAAATATTTTTATGACTAATTTTTATTGTCGAGCATTCAGAAGAACTTCCTCTACTCAGGCGATTTGTCAGAATCAAAAAACATTAATTTTCTATTAATTTTCTATTTAGAGGTGGGGTCCTGTTTACAATATAAATACGATGTCAAACTGATCCCAGTCTGTTTGATATACATGTAGTTTTCTTTCTTTTGAGTGGACAAGTCTATTTAAGTATTGATGTTTTAAAATGAAGTGTATTATTACGATATAATGTGTGTGTGTTTACATATGATGTTCATTTTATTTCCAGTGGACAGAAATGTTGCAAGATTGAAATTGTAACTTTTGTTGAAATTCCTTTCATCTTCCTCTTTTCTTTGAAAATATATCTGCATAGGGCTCTAGTCAAATTTCTTCTTGGAAAATTTCCATGACCACCTTTATTAAGAAAAACTTAACATTTTTCATTCTTAATTTAAAAAAGAAAAATTATTTTAAAGTAAGTTGAAGGCAAAAATTGCAGTGGACATGGCTTTTTTTTTTTTTTTTTTTTTAAGTACACCTTGGCATTAAATACGGGCTCTACAGCATTTTGCTGTGGTTTCACAGTCTAAACTCATCCCTATATATATATATATATATATGAGTTACCTGTTGTACGTTGATTTTCAGTAATGCCATTTTACTAGACCACTGATCTTGATGTGAATTATATTCTCAGTAGATGCACCATGTGTGTGACTATGTTCTAAGTTCTGCTTAGTGCGTGTTAAATAACTTAGTTTTGTTTATTTTAATGGCTTTTGTTTATATGTTTACTTTTAGAAATGGTTTACTTTAATTTGTTTGAATTTATTATGTCAAATGAGATTATTAGTATTGGTTATTGGCCAGACAGAGTTTACCGACTATTTTGTGTTAGGAAGAATAACGTGTATTAGCCTTCCAGTAGCTCACCGATACTAATATTAGCATTAGTGTAGCCATTGATACAGTAACACTGAATGCAAATATAGAAAGACGAAATACGCAACTGTAACAAACAAAACATTTAATAAGGCAAATGATTTACATACATATATTAAAGAGATTTACATATGTCCCAAAACAAATGATTGTTCATATTGTCCAAAGGAACGAGGATGTTTACAGAACGAGAACAAAGAAATAACATACCAACTTTATGACCTTTGATCGTCTGCAGATAACTGAATAGAAATTACCTTTTCTTTCGCTAGGCCGTGCACATGTTGACCAATTTCCACATGTGTGGACACCCTGGTGGTCAGGAAGGTAAAGAGGCTGTTCCTCAAAAAAACAGAAACAAAAACTAAAAGGGACAGAAGCGTTCTCCTCTCTAAAGGGGCTGAACTCCCATGAGCTCAACCCAAGGGAAAACAACTGTGGTCTCCCTACAAGATTAACTACAAAATAATTTTTTTCCTTGATATAAAATGATCTGTACAGAAGGTGCTACCTTACAAATTGATTGATGTCTTCAACATTTCCCATGTCTTGCCAGATATTATCTCCATATCTCTCAAAATCATTCCACTATGAGATAAAAGAAAAACTCATTTTCATCTGAATTTCTGGGATGAGAAATTATCAGTATTCAGTCGGATTAATTTCTCTATCATTGAAGTTATTATCACAATGTTTCGGTTGTTGTGTTCTCTGGCCTTCTTCAGTTGTCTGTTATTCTGGATGATCTTCAGGGAATGTTGACCTGAATCCTTTATTTAATCTACAAGTGTAGATTATTCCCGTTCTGCTGTTCTAGTCTAGGAATATCTCGTCTTGTTCAGTTGTTAATAATGCTCAGTTATTGCTCGGCCTATTTCAATCCCACAGATTATACTCATATTTACTTAGCTGAGAAGATAAAGCATTGGGTTGTTAATTTTGGTGAAATTATTATGAATTCAATCACTGAAGTGTTTAGTACTGACTTAGACTTGATGGAAACATATCTAGCAATTTAGTGAGCATTACTAAAAAATGTTGAGCCTGGCCAGTACCTAGTTGAGTGACCACTTGGGAATATCAGATACTGTAAGGATGTGTGGGTGGTGCAATGGATAATGGCTTGAAATTTGAGAGCAGAGTTCCAATTCCCATTGGATTCATTATATTCATTTATATGCAAATATCCTTGGAATAGGTATGAATCCACTTCTCCCTCCACCTATGGGTTAATTAGTAAGACTTGTATCTCTAAATCAATGTTATCTCAAAAAAGAAAAAAAAAATTCTCACAATCTAAAAATATTTTCTGGCTTTAAATAACCTGCAAAGGGTTGGTAAACCGTAGAAAATTAATCAATGAAAAAATGAATGACTCTAATTAGTGTTTTTCTTTTTACTATCTCTCCCATTACCTGTTCAGCCATCTCTTTACACAAGCTTGTTAAAGAAGATATTTGCTGTTTTCCTCTGCACTTCTTTCTTTCAAAATATCCTGTGATTGTTAAATTCTCCAAGTTCTCTTTCCTCTTTATGCATTTCAAAAATTTTAATTGTCTCTTTCTGATTTGTAGTTCAGGTATCCTCTTTTTTCTTACCATTTTTTCTTCAACATGTGCGGCTTATGTAATGGATAGTATAATAAATGTCCTTTTCGTTTCCAGTTTCCTTGAAACTTCCTCATTTCTCACATGTTCAGTCCATTATGCTTCTGTAGAACATCTCTATTGCTAACTCAAGTCTCTTTTTCATCTCAGAAGAAATTGTCCCCCATTGCTATATAGGAGGGTTCATATTACATAACAGTCCAGTCATGTTAAGTTTTATTATAAAAGCAGATTGGATCCAAAGAGTAGGGCGTCCTGTAGGTCAAATGAACTGATTCATTTTTTAAAAGTGTCAGAAAATTTTCTGATCCATAGTTAATTCCTAAAATTGCAATAAACACGACTCCCTTTATCTACTATCAATGGGTAAATATATAAAAAAAAAAAAATTGTTGGTGCAATAGTCTGAGTGAAAGTCTTAGAGCTGTTTGATTGAAATTACAATTACCTGTTTAATTAAATCATTGTTTAATTTATTTATCTTATTTCATTAAAATTTTATGACAATGCTCTTGTCATTTTACATTTAGTATTGGATATAAATAAAAAAAGCTCTTCTAAAACAGTTTCAATTTCTCTTCCTTTTAATTGGGATCCTGTCTGATGTAGGCAGTGCTGAGCAAAGCTAATCAGTAAATGTCCTTCAAATTTATTCATGCAAATGTCTTTATTATTATTTTCACCAAGTTTTTGATTACTTTATTTTGATTCCCTGTAAACTTGTTTCAATCAAATTTTACATTCCCCCTGTCGAATCTTCAAGTATTTATTTGGTGTGTGGGTGAAGGGAAATCTGTAAAATGTTGGGTGAAATCTGTGGAGTAGGGTTGCCAGGTTGGGCTACTAATAGCCAATTGGGCTACCAAGCTAATTTGTAAACTTTCTTCTCAATAGTAGACAAAAGTCATAAATAGTGAAAATCAAAATTCCTTGGTGCTAGCTTGTCAGTTGATTATATATTGGGATCTTTTCCCCTTTTCTTCTCTTTCTTCGATTTTCTATCTTTCCTCAATTTTTCTCTGTTACCCCATCTTTTCCCCTCTTTCCCCATTCCTTGTCTATTTCTTTCTCTCTCACTCTCTCCTTTCTCTCTCACTCTCTCCTTTCTCTCTCACTCTCTCCTTTCTCTCTCACTCTCTCCTTTCTTTCTCACTCTCTTTCTCACTCTCTTTCTCACTCTCTTTCTCACTCTCTTTCTTTCTCTCTTTCTTTTCTCTTTCTTTCTCTCTCTTTCTTTCTCTCTTTTCTTTTCTCTCTCTCTTTCTTTCTCTCTCTCTTTCTTTCTCTCTCTCTTTCTTTCTCTCTTTCTTTCTTTCTCTCTTTCTTTCTTTCTCTCTTTCTTTCTTTCTCTCTTTCTTTCTCTCTTTCTTTCTTTCTTTTCTTTCTTTCTTTCTCTCTTTCTTTCTTTCTTTCTTTCTCTCTTTCTTTCTTTCTTTCTTTCTTTCTTTCTCTCTTTCTCTCTTTCTTTCTTTTCTCTCTTTCTCTCTCTTTCTCTCTTTCTCTCTTTCTCTTTCTTTCTCTCTTTCTCTTTCTTTCTCTCTTTCTCTTTCTCTCTCTTTCTCTTTCTTTCTCTCTTTCTCTCTTTCTCTTTCTTTCTCTCTTTCTCTTTCTTTCTCTTTCTTTCTCTCTTTCTCTTTCTTTCTCTTTCTTTCTCTCTTTCTTTTTCTTTCTCTTTCTTTCTCTCTTTTCTCCCCTTTCTCTTTCTTTCTCTCTTTTCTCCCCTTTCTTTTCTTTCTCTTTTCTTTCTCTTTCTTTCTCTTTCTTTCTTTCTTTTCTTTTCTTTCTCTTTCTTTCTCTTTTCTTTCTTTTCTTTCTTTTTTCTTTCTTTTCTTTCTCTTTCTTTTCTTTTCTTTCTTTTCTTTCTCTTTCTTTCTCTCTTTTTCTCTCTTTCTTTCTCTTTTCTTTCTTCTTTTTTCTCTTTCTTTCTTTTTCTTTCTGTTTCTCTTTTCACTTTTTCTTTCCTCTGTCTTTCTCTCTTTCTACCCAACGTCAGTTAATCATTGTTGTTGTTTATATTTTCTTGCTTTAAATTTACTGCAAAAATTGATAAGCCTAAACGATTTGTTTAGGCTTATCAACTTTTTGCAGTAAATTTAAAGCAAGAAAATATCTTAATTATAATCAAGAAAATATCTTAATATAATCAAAAAAATTAAAAGAATATCCTCAAAGATTGGAAAAATATGACAAAGAATTTAGAAGCTTTTATTTTTTTTTTTTAATCTAATTTGTCTTCAATTTGAAATGACTGAAAATTTTGTCCTAATTTTATTTTTGGTAGTTCCATTTTATAGCCTACTTTATTTTAGCTTTAACAATGGCTCCACTTGTAAAATTTGCTTTTTTGTGGGGTGAGGGTTACATTTTTTTTTTTTTTGATCATTTAGGACATCATAAATTTGGAAAGAGGCGCTATAATAAAAAGATGTCAGGTTTTGTCCACTTAGCTGCTGATAGAACAATTTGAGCTTCTTTATTTTTTTATCTGTCCATTGTCCTAGATTTGTATTGTGCCATAATCTGAACTGCATTTATTTTCAAGTAGTAAGTGAAATTCTTCTCATCATAGTCTTGAAATTTTCATATTGGATCAGTTTTGTATCCAAACAAAGCAATTTTCTGAAGCAGTAATGAATTTTTATTAATCCGACAGATTTTATCACTTTAAATATTATTTTTACTGTCTACTCCTGTTTGATTAGATGCTCAGTTTATTTATTAGACAGTATATCTGTTTTTGTCTACATTCAAAATATTTAGAATTTATTTTTGTCCATATTCAGAATTTTGAATATTCAAGCTGGCATAAAAAATAAATATATATATATATATATATATATATATATATATATATATATATATATATATATAATAAATAAATGGAACATTACTCAAATATGAACATCCACTAAAAATAACGTTTAAAGTAATAAAATCTGTGGAATTAATAAAAATATCTTACTTCTTCAGAATATATATATATATATATATATATATATATATATAATATTGTATTTAGTCAGCAATCCCTCATTTGTAAATGTTTCATTAAAGATGACAAACAAGGTAGTGCGATTAAGGTTTTATTTGATTTTTCTTGTGTTCAAACTAATCATTTCTGTTCTGTGTTCCTGATCTAAGTGAACTCATAAATAATTACATTGGTCACACTACATGTCTATCCAGACACATTATGTTACACCTGTCTGGCCACAACTCCATTAGAACCCATTTAAACATACACACATACTTACCAGACTCCATCTGAAACATACTAGTATAAAATACAAACATAATAACCTCATCCACATGTAACAAAAGATAAAAAATAATGGAAGCCCTAATAATAAAAAAGAAGCCGCCAACACTCAATAATATCAATTAAGAACATGGCCACAATGTGCTGACTGTGTTCATAAAATAAAAGATCACTATAACTCAAGAAACATACACAACCCATACATCCATTTAAAAAGCAAAAATAAAATCATCCTTGATAATGGCTAAAAATATAGCTGAAAGCGCTCGGAATTATAAAACATTTGGACAGTTTCTACACTGTCCAAAAAAGAAAACGCTTCTTTGAACACAAGAAAAATTAAATAAAAAGCTTAATCACAGTACCTTATCTGTCGCCTTTAATGAAACGTGTATATATATATATATATATATATATATATATTATTTTTAGTGGTTATATGGGTTTGAATTGCTATCCCTGTTTTTTATTTTATTAAACAGTGAAATTATTAACAACCAATCTAATTTTTCTGTCAGCCTGGTCTTCATAGACAAACTTTGGCTCAGAATGTTGTTCAATTTCTGGCGGAAGCACAATTTTTCTTTCATAGAATTTCTCAGTTTAGGCTGACTGTTATTTTATTCCACTGTTTAATAAAGTAAAAATGAGGATAGCTACTGAAACATGTGTACCTATTAAAATAACATTTATAGTAATCTGAATGTTGGATAAAAAAAATCCTTTCAAAAATTACTGTTGAGTATGAAACACGAGGTAGTAGATATAGGTTTATAGAAGTCCCAACAAGAAATGTGCTTTCCTTAAATGAGTAATTCAAACTTTGTTCTATCAGGTTAACCTCTGTGGCCAAACTGATTGCAGCACACACTAGCAGTAGGTTTCTTTTTTTTTTTCCAGTACTCTACACCAGTTGTTATTAATTTCAGTGTTTAAAAAACCCCCAAAAAAACAAAAGACAGTGATTGCAACATAAACACATGGACCCACTTATAAATAACATTTATATTAAACTAGCTTAAAAGCTGCTCTGTTAGAAGTAATTTAAGCTAGTTTCTGTGGAGAGCTCTTGATTGGGCCTTCGACTTGTTCAGGAGTTTGAGAGTCCCTAAGTCTTTGAATATTTTCAGCATTAGAAGCTCTCTTGGTTGCTGTTTAATCTGAGTTTTCATTTTCTTGGGACTTTCTTTTTCTTGCTGCAGCCTTGGTTATTTTGATTGCAATTTGGTCCTGTGTTGGTGGAGATTTCTTTTTGTGAGGCATACTGCTGTCATATGCAATAAGCAACAATAAACTACATAAGAACTTAAAATTGATTGCTGCATTTAAATATTAAATTAATATTTAAGCTTACTTTTAAGAAGTTGAACAATAATTCTTCTGCTGCCACTTAATTTAAATGCAGTTTGATGTATGTAGGTCCTTACTTTTCATAAAATTATTTTTATTTCAAGGGTGAGTTTCACTGGATTTCACAATTAATTACATTTATTCCCAAATTTATCTCCAATTTCTGAAAATTATTGTACAAAAAAAATTGTTGCAAAAAAATCATGTGAAAAAAAATTGCAGTAATGAAAACTTGGGAATAAAAAATTTCAGGATTATGGGTCTGTATCCGGCCCGGAATGTTTTTAATTTGCTCAGTCAGCCTGGTTCTGAAATGGTATATGTTGGGCTACAGCTTCTAGGGGTAAAGTCAAAAAATGTGGCACAGTGACACATTTGCATTTATTTATATAGAAGAAATAATGTTGGATTAAAAAAAAAAAATCCTTTGATAAAAGTACAGAGTGTATGAAAAATACTTTTACATATTTTGAGTGCGAGTTCCTCAACAGTCCATATAAACATATGTCTGCAAATCTTTGCATTTTTGTGTTGTTAAGTTTAAAGAAAGTTTATGGTAGATAGTGTTGTGTTGCCATGTAGACTTGGTCATATTTGTTATTCTTGTACATTTGTGGTTAGTCAATCTTCAATGTTTAATGTGTGTAGTAGTTGTATCAGACAACATTTGCTGTTGTTTATCATTGCATTGTTGAGACAGGATCTGTGACACCACAAACTATGGATTGAGGAATACTGAAATCCACTCGTATGTCTAACCACAAAGATCATATTCTACAGGCTGTTGGAGATGATCCAGGCATCAGTACACGTCAAGTAGCCCTAGCATGTCATACATCTCATAGTACCGCATGGAGGATACTTCAATAGCAGCTCTTGTATCCATATCATTTGCAATGTGTGCAGAGTCTTTCACCCTCTGATCGCTCAAAACGGTAGAACTTTTGCCGATGGTTTATTGCACAAAATGCCGATCCATTGTTCATCTCTTCAGTCTTGTTTACGGATGAGGCAACTTTGGAAGAGATGGAATAACAGATTTACACAACCAACATTTGTGGGTGTATCAGAATCTCTATGGTATAATGCAGACTGGAGACCAGCATGAGTTTGCAATTAATGTGCAGGCTGGAATTGTAGGTGACTTTCTGGTAGGTTCATATGTTCTCTCAGCACATCTTACAGGAGCTGCCTACAGGGACTTTATTTTGAACACACTTCTAGACCTGCTAGAGGATGTACTCCTGCTAATATGAAGATGCATGTGGCTCATGCATGATGACACTCCAGCACATTTTAGTCACATTGTTCACAATGCATTGACTGACATAGGGGAGGTAGGTAGGGGAGGACCAGTTCCTGGCCTGCTCATTCCTCTTATCTCAAAACTTTGGATTTTTTTTCTTTGGGGCCATTTAAAACAATTGGTTAATGCAGTATCACATTAATAATTTAGAGACCCTTCATCAACATGTCATGGGGGCCTGCAAAACCATTGAATACCATGTAAGAGTATTTGAAAGGGTCTGTGGGTGAATGAGTGTGTAGAAGCAAGTGGAGGATATTTTGAATATTTGCTATGAGTTGCTGTGTTGAAGTACGACGATGGCCTTTTGGACATATGTTTATATGGACATTTTTCCTTGTTTTGGTAACAGGAAGCAGCCCCCCCCAAAAAAAAAAATTGTAAAAGTATTTTTGATACACCCTGTATAGTGGTTAATATATAAGGCAATTTGGAAAATTGTAATTTTGATTTTTCAAAAATATCATCAGAAAAATGGATTTTTTGTTTTAACCAAATCTGCACTGGCAAGACAAAATCATTTGTAGTCAGTCTATAACTGGGCTTTTTCAGTCTATCACCCAGAAAATAATTGGTTACTTGCTGCCTCCCCCCCCCCAACTACACACACACACACACACACACACACACAAGGACATTTGTAATTCTCACCAGAGTGGAACAGTAAACATAATGATAGCCTGCATCCCAGGTAACACTTTTTTGAACTGCTACCCTCAGCATGACGTCTTAGTTATATTAGTTGTATATAAAATTAATTTTCAAAAACGGGTATAAATCTTTGTGATATAATATAGAACTCTAGGACTCGTTGATTGAAATTCTAGTCAAAGAATATGGCAAATGATTTTTCAGATCAATCAGTTTCAGTGATGGAAATTTTAACCAATGAAAATGATTTCTAGAATGAGTAAAAAAAAAAAAAAAAAAAACTGTGCATAGGAGGTGGAACCATTGTTAAAAACAATAAAATTTATTTCTGTCTCTGTTATCATCATCATTGTTGTATGTATTCTTTTGTGTGGTCTTTGCACTAGTCTTTGTACTCCCAATATTCACCACCACCTCCGCATTACCATTCCCCTACCTAGGTTCCATGTGTACCAATGCCAATGTAGCTGCCAGCTCTGGTCCAGGTAACCCCTCAGACATCACAATGCAGAATCTGGCCAACCGAGGCAGCTTGGTGTCCAGTGCCAGTTCTGCAACCAGCAAACCTGCCACAACCACTTCTGCTACTGGCGGTCTGCTTGACCGTGGTGGTGGGGGAGGAGGTGGAGGAGGGATCAGTGGCAGTGGAGGAGGAGGAGGAGGCACCGGTGGCAGTAGCAACAATACAGGGGCTGCCAACAAGGACACTACCGTTTTGCAGCGGGTTCGGGTGAGTACATGCACATGCTTTTAAAAATATATATATATATGTGTATATAAATATATATATTATTATTATTATTATTATATATATTTTTTTTTTTTTTTTTTTTATAAATGAATTCCAATTCTTTCCTTTGTTTATTCTGTCTTTCTTTTCAAAATTTCAAGCACTTTTGTAACTATATATGCTTAAATATTTTACCTTGAACTCGCACCTGCTTATGAAATGGTTAACTTTGTTTGGATGTCAATTAAAGCCAAGAACTTCAGGAAAGGCTTTGTACTGAAAGCATATCTGTATATCTATCTATCTTGATGACTCTATACTTACATGTATACATGTAGTTATAGTAGGCCAGTGAAAAAAAAAAAATTCTGATATTATTATTTTTCTTGTTATTGTTTACTTTGATCAATGTTGTTTGTTTATTTCCTTCCGGGTCCCAACCAGAGACCTAAGGTCAGAAATGGCATCATGACATTTTCCATTTGGACATTTTTTTTAACCTAAGATGACACACATTTTACATTGATAAGGCCCTTTGTAAGGTGTGAGCTGTATTTGTGAGAACCTTTTTTTTTTTTTTTATTTCTTCAAGGCATGGCTTACTAGAGATCCCATCAGTGAGTCTCTTAGAACCGTTTCCAAACAAATTGAGACCTCTAACCACAAGGATTGTATTTTGGTAGTTTTTTAAGGTCTTCAAAGATACATTACAGTAGGAACTGTCATGCCAATAAGAAAGCATATTCTGTTTTTGTGGTCTTTGATCCCGATGTCTGGACGATTAGCTTTGATTTTTTTTCTCTGCATTGTAAAGTCCCATAAAACTGTTACAGGTCCTATGTCTGTAACCTAACCAGATCTGGATGGTGTTCATACCAATTTCTTTCCATTTCCTTCCTGTAAAAGTTGAAGATATTCTGGTGCAAATATTGGCCCCACCCAGTGATGCTGAGTTTTATATTCAGTTATTTTTTGTTTAATTTCTTTAATTGCCTTGCTACACCTACATTCTGTAAGAAGCATACAAGGACTTTCTCCACTAATATATATATATATATATATATATAAATTTCAGATTTAACTAAAAATTTATTTCTAAAAGGACAATATGAATAATGACACAAGGAAAACTTATCTTAGCTGTGATGTTTCATATTAAAAGAGAAAGCAACTGAGATGGAAAATTGAGAGTGCTGCTATCATATGTTACCAAAATATAATTCTGCACCCTGGATGTTATTAAATATCTCCATTCTTGAAGGAATTATTCTTATTCCAAGGCAACATGACCATAAAAATGTTAAACAAAAGAAAATGATTAAATTCATAACATTCTATAATTTAAAATGTATAAATTAATCCAAAACTAAAGTGATACAAATAATAATTACATTATAAAAAAAACACAAAAAAAAAAACCCATTTACTCATGTTCATTTATTAGATATTAAATTATATCACATAACATCCACCATAACTTACCTTAACTATACAGTTAGCCTGCTGTAGATTTATGAACATTCTTAAATTTAATAATTCTAAAAAACTAAGGACATTTTTACTTTTGTTTATAAATACTTGTTGCAAAATAATATCCTAGTGATAAGTCAGTATTTTACCTAATGATAATTTCAACACATAAGAATAACAATACAGTCAATCATTATATGTGTATTAGAAAAAGAATATTTACCAGACATTTGATCACTATTTGGGTGTGTACATGTGTGTGTGTGTGTGTGTGTGTGTGTGTGTGCGCATCTCTTGGGTGGGGGTGTCACTTTTTCTATTTGACAGTGTGTCACTCTATGTCACTGTGTGTGTCACACTTTCTCTATCTCTGTGTTACTCGCTTTCTCTTTATCTGTGTGTGTGTCACAATCTGCCTTTCTCTGTCACATTCTCTATCTGTGAGGGTGTGTCTCTCTCAGTGTGAATGTGTATATGTCACACTCTATTGGTGTGTCTGTCACTCTAGAGTGACTCTTTTGTTGAGTGTGCATGTATCTCTCTCTCTCTTTTGGTGAGTGTGTGTGTTTCTCTCTCTCTTTTGGTGAGTGTGTGTGTTTCTCTCTCTTTTGGTGAGTGTGTGTGTGTGTGTTTCTCTCACTCTTTTGGTAAGTGTGTGTGTATGTTTCTCTCACTCTTTTGGTATGTGTGTGTGTGTATGTTTCTCTCACTCTTTTGGTGTGTGTGTGTGTGTGTGTGTATGTTTCTCTCACTCTTTTGGTGAGTGTGTATGTTTCTCTCACTCTTTTGGTGTGTGTCTCTCTCACTCTTTTGGTGTGTGTCTCTCTCACTCTTTGTGAGTGTCTCCCTCACTCTTTGTGAGTGTTTCTCTCACTCTTTTGGTGAGTGCGCGTGTTTCTCTCACTCTTTTGGTGAGTGTCTGTTTCTCTCACTCTTTTTTGGTGAGTGCAGTGTTTCTCTCACTCTTTTGGTGAGTCTTGTGTGTTTCTCTCACTCTTTTGGTGAGTCTTGGCGTGTTTCTCTCACTCTTTTGGTGAGTCTGGCGTGTTTCTCTCTCACTCTTTTGGTGAGTCTGGCGTGTTTCTCTCCTCTTTTGGTGAGTCTGGCGTGTTTCTCTCACTCTTTTGGTGAGTCTTGGCGTGTTTCTCTCACTCTTTTGGTGAGTGCGCGTGTTTCTCTCACTCTTTTGGTGAGTGCGCGTGTTTCTCTCACTCTTTTGGTGAGTGCGCGTGTTTCTCTCACTCTTTTGGTGAGTGCGCGTGTTTCTCTCACTCTTTTGGTGAGTGCGCGTGTTTCTCTCACTCTTTTTGGTGAGTCTTGTGTTTCTCTCACTCTTTTGGTGAGTCTTGGCGTGTTTCTCTCACTCTTTTGAGTGATGCGTGTTTCTCTCACTCTTTGGTGCGTGTCGTGTTTCTCTCACTCTTTTGGTGAGTGCGTGTTTCTCTCTCACTCTCTTGGTGAGTGCGTGTTTCTCTCTCACTCTCTTGGTGCGTGTACGTCTCTCTCACTCTCTTGGTGCGTGTACGTCTCTCTCACTCTCTTGGTGAGTCTGTGTGTGTCTCGCGCTTTCGGTGAGTCTGTGTGTGTCTCTCTCTCGCTGTCTCTGCCTCTCTGTGTCTCTCTCTCTCTGCCTCTCTGTCTCTCTCTCTCTCTCTGTGTCTCTCTCTCTCTCTCTGTCTCTCTCTCTCTCTCTCTCTCTCTCTCTCTCTCTCTCTGTCTCTGCGTGTCTGTGTCTCTCTATCATTTTTCTCTATATGTGTGTGTGTGTGTCTCTCTCTCTGTTGGTGTGTATATGTATGTATGTCCCTCTCTGTTGGTGTCTGTGTCTTTCTCTCACTGTATGTATGTGTGTCTATTGGTGTGTATGTATGTATGTGTGTTTGTCTCTGCCTCCCTCTCTCTCTCTCTCTCTTTGTTGATGTTTGTGTCTCTCTTGCTGTGTATGTATATGTCCCTATCTTGCTGTTGGTATGTGTGAGTGTTTCTCTTTATTTGTGTGTTTGTATGTGTATATCTCTGTCTATTTGTATGTATGTGTCTCTCACTCTATTTGTATGTATATATGTGTCTTTCTTGCTCTATCGGTGTGTGTATATATATATATATATATATATATATATATATATATATATATATGTGTGTGTGTGTGTGTGCTCTCTCACTCTATTGGTGTGTGTCTCTTTCACTCTATTGATATGTGTGTGTCTCTCTCTCTCACCCTAATGATATGTGTGTGTTTCTGTCTCTCTCTCATCCCATTGATGTGTGTGTGCTTCTCACGCCATTGATGTCTGTGTGTGTCTCTCTCTCATCCTATTGATGTGTGTGTGCTTTTCACGCCATTGATGTCTGTCTGTGTGTGTGTGTGTCTCTCTCTCACCCCATTCATATGTGTTTGCATCTCACCCCATTGAGTATGTGTTTGTGCATCTCTCTCTCTCTCTCTCAGTGCCATCAAAAACCCACAGTTTCTGTTTAGCTAGTCAAAAGCCTACTTAACTCTGACCAACCCATTAATGCCAACTGTAAAACCTGGTTTTAATTATAAAAATAAAAATATAGCATTGATAATAGGTTTAAATCCATTGTTTCTGCTGTAAGTGTGGATGTGTGGAATAGATAATGGCCCACAACTGTTAATCAGAGTTCCAGTTTCCCCAGCTATGGGTTAATTAGTAAGACTTCTCTCACTAAAGCTACAAATAAAAAATCCTTACAATCTAAAAATATTTTCTGGCTTTAAATAACCTTCAAGAGGTTGATAGACTGTAGAAAACAAATCAAACGCGTTCAAAAAGCAAGCATATGTTAGGTAGGAAGCAATTCTCAGATTCTGTTGAGGCAATTTTATTTTAAATTAACCTTCTACCTTTCTTAAAATTTTGAAATAAATGTTGTTTTGCAATAAATCCCTGCTCTTTGTACTTAGAAATTTGGATTTATTCTTACTGAAAACAAAAACTAAGAGTGAGAAATAGGTTTTTACAGAGGAACAACTACCAAAGTGTAAATGGCAACTAAAATTTTTAAATTTGCCCAAGAGCATGTAAAGGTACCCTTCCAAAGAAAAACTTCACAACAAAGGTCACCCCCTCCAACTTTAATGAGTCTGAGAGCCATATCAAATTGAAACACGGGTTCTCATATGTTCACCAAAGTTAAGCAACATCAAACCAGGTCAGTATCTAGATGGGTGACCACTCAGAAATACCAGGTGCTGTAAGCTTGGCTAACGGTTCATAATGAAAAATTGGAAAGCCTAGTTGAGTTCGTAGCATTCACTTACATGCAAATACCCTTGGGGAAAAGTATGAATCCACCACCTCCCCCATCTATGGCTTAAATAGTATTTCTACCTGAAGAATATTATCTCTGAAAAAATTAACATTTACTTATTAAAAAAAAATGAATTAAAACCAAAAAATAAATTTCAGCTTTAAATAACTAAACAAAAAGGTTGATAAGCCAGAAAAAAAATAAATCCATCAATCAATCCAACTTTAATGTACCCCCTCCCCATCAACTGACAGAAATAACTTAAATTTCAAACTCTTCATTAGTGTTGTATTGTAAGCTTTAAATAAATGTCAATCTTAAGAATTTGGGGTGCAATTAAAATGAAATGGAAAAAAAAAAATAGTGTGTTTGTGAAATTCTGAAAAAATATTTTTAAGAACAAGGAAAAAGAAATCAAATTCAAATAGAAAGTATTTTGATCAATATGAGTCCGCATGTTTTATGATTGTCATATATATAAATTTTGAAAGTTTTGGAAACTATTGATAAATATTTAAATCTTAAAACTGGCTCAGATTTGTTCCTTAAGTATTAATTACTTTCTCCTTGTATGTGCCAAATCCTTTCAGGACATGGCTGATCATCGCTCTCCACAACTTCCTGTTTTGATGCTCTAAGTAACTTTTGATCCTTTACCATCTGTCTTTGTCTATCTTCTTTCCTCCATTCACACAATAGTTCTGGGCATGACAATAAACTACATCTGGCAGCAAGGCCTCTCTTCAGGAGATTGCAGGTTTTGAGCCCACTGGTAGCACCTGTTAGGGTCCCAACTATGGGAAAATAGTGAACCCCCAACCAAAAACAAAACAATATGAAAGTATAAAAATACCAGCAATACATTTTTATATAAAACAAATTACCAAAAAAACATTTTATAACAAAATTACCAACAATACATTTTTTAAAATGACAACAATATATTTTATCTGTAGTTGAAGGCATACTATTTTGCTCAAAATATGTACATTTTTTAATTAAATAACCTATACAAGTTGATATACCACTAATCACAATCAACCAATTATCTACCATGTATTCAATTGTGAAAGCAGAATAACATATATCATATTTTTATTACTTCAAAGCACCCAAGCATTAAATAGCCCATAAGGAGTTGATATGCAGTTAAGCAAATCAATCTATTTGCACAAGCTCATTAAGTAGGTTACTCAGTTCCCACTATTTTTTCACCTTCAATGTCTTGTGAGTGTTAAATTCTCTAGGCCTTCTTTCTTCATTGTGTCCCAGAAATTTCTGTCTCTTTCTGATTGTAAGTATAAGTTTCTTTGTAGTACTTGTTTTCCTTAAAACATCCTAATTGCTCATTCGTATTTTCAGCATTCCTCAGTAGAACTGTATCTACGTTACTCCAAGTCTCTTCTCTATGAAAATGTGTAAATTGCATGCAAACATTTTTTATTAAAACCTTTTCAGACTGAATATATTTCTAAATTTTACCAGTTGACGGATAACGGAAATTTCAATTCAGTTAGTATGCTCTCTACATATGTTTAGCCCCCTTTCATAATACTTAAGAGGCAGTGTTAGAAAGTTATCGGTTTAACCCATTCCCCTTAAAGATGACCGAATGTCAGCCTTTTTCTTCTCTAAACTTTCTCATATTCTGGTCAGATTATACACAGGCCCTATTGCCGAGGCATTTTTACTTACGAATATCTGGTTTTGGTCGTTTACATGAACACTGGATGCTGTAAAATCATAAATGTATGTATTATCATCAACAGTACATGAATTGGATCGACTGTCATCTGAGTAATCAGTAGAAGTAAATTCATTGTTTCCACTCCTTCACATTAAATGCAACATTGGTCAAGAATTGTCTCCTGGACATTTGCAAATCTATGCCTGGTTTGTCATAAAACAAGTTGCTAATTTTGAGCACATCACTGTTAGATGGAAGCTGCCATATTGCATTTACTGATTCAATAGTGCATACTCCTCTACAACCATCTAGCATTCATATTTTCAGTTGTAAACAAATACATGTTTGGCTGGCCAGATCTTAGTATTCTGTATAGAGCAAAATTCTATGGAAGTATTTTTTTTTTTTTTTTTTTTTTTTTTTTTGAATTTCATGATATTGAGTTCAATCCCTGGGCTAGGCTCAGTGGAAGCAGATTGAGGAACAACTGAGTTGTGCTAAATAAGAATATCATCAGATGCTCTTGAATGTGGACAGTAGAACAAAAACAATCAACCCCCATAAATTAAATAAAGGGTTCAACTTGGAATTCCCTGCAGGTTATGACCTGAAGGGTACAATTGTCAAAATGTCGCGATAACAGTAAAGATGAGGACATTAGCCTAAATGTAAATAATGTCCGGAAAGGGATAAAAAAAAAAAAAAAAAAACTTGTCTGGTGTAGTGGGATAATACAAATTTTTTAAGAGTTTCTGAATTTATTTTCTTTACAAAAGAATTTGATAAAGTGCAACGCAAAGAACTGTTAATTAAGCTTGAATTTATTTGGGAAAGATAATCCAGAACTTGGAGCAAACTGCCTGCATCCAGAGAGAAAATGAATTGACTAAACATACAAAAATAGAAAGGAGTGTAAGACCAGGGTGTGTTGTCTCGCCAGATTTATTTGACCTTTACAGTGAGGCGATTCTGAGAGAATTAGAATTCCAACCTGATACATTATTGCAGCCACAATCTTAACAACTTTAGATCTGCAGTGTTAGCAGATACAGAAAGGAAAATACAGAAACTTCTATAGAAACTTTTGATCAAACCAGATTATGCATTCCTGCCCATAATTTGTATTTAATGTCCACTCAGCATAATTGGCGCCCAAACCACTGTTTAGATCTGTGGGTTCTGATGCAGCATAAATGGGTCTGATCGGGTGTCTGAAAAAAGGAATTAGCTAATGTCCCTAGCAAACGAGAGTAATAAAGGAAAGCAAGAAGAAAGGACGAAACATCAATTGTAAGAAGATAGAATGCATGGTTGTCAGCAGAAGGAACAGTCCAAATTGCAAATTAGAGATACCAAAATCAATTACATACATAAATTTAAATATCTCGGAAGTGTCTTAACAGAAGGTGGAGCATCCTGTTAGAAACAAAGAAAAAAGTATTTAACTGCGACGTGGTACCAGTTCGGCTATATGGTAGTGAATGCCGGACAATCTCTTCAAAGATGAAGAAGAGACTTGAAGCAACAGAAATTTGGTTATACAGAAAGATGCTGAGAATACTATAGATTGAACATATTAGCAATGACAATGTTTTAGAAAAAGTGGCAACAAAATAACACTTAGAATCAGAAAGAGATCGTTGACATTTTTAAGGCGCATAAAGATGAAAGAGGGCTCATAAAATTTGATACTCACAGGATAGATTGACAGCAAGAGGGACAGAAGGAAATAATGCACAACCTACGTAGCAAGCTTGTGTAACTGGATGGCAGAACAGGGTTTAGGAGAAATAGCAAAAAGACAAAATATGTCAAGAGCTACGGAGGAGAGGATATTCTGATCTCCAATCTCTGGAGGACACGGCACACAGAAGAAGAATCTTGCTTTTGAAAGTATTGGGTTGTCTGGAAAGTTCATGCTGATTTTTAAGGGAAAGTAAAACACAAAACAAAATT